CACAGACACATACACCAATACACCACACACATACCCCCACACACACTATACCCACACAGCACACACACCACACATCGCACACACACCACACACGTGCACATGCATGCGCACACACACACTTCATCACCACCTTCCCCGCTTCGTTTTTCCTCCTTCAAAATTGTATCACTAGTCACAGTTCAATAAAGGGACAGAAACCACACAATGCTTTCAACAGGGAAAGTTTGATATAAAATATTATCATCGGCCGGTCGCAGTAGCTCACGCCTGTAATCCCAGCACTTTGAGAGGCCAAAGCGGGCAGATCACGAGGTCAGGAGATCGAGACCATCCTGGCTAACACGGTGAAACCCCGTCTCTACTAAAAATACAAAAAATTAGCCAGGCATGGTAGCAGGCGCCTGTAATCCCAGCTACTCAGGAGGCTGAGGCAGGAGAATAGTGTGAACCCAGGAGGCGGAGCTTGCAGTGAGCCGAGATCACATCACTGCACTCCAGCCCGGGCGACAGAGCGAGACTCCATCTCAAAAAAAAAACAAACACATATATATATAATATATTATCAACAAGAGGAGATTAATTATAAAGTAATAAAGTTAAGTTTGTGTTCAAGAAAGGATAGTCTAGCTTGGCCAACACAGCGAGAGCCTGTCTCTACAAAAATTTTTTAAATTAGCTAGGCATAGTGGTGCACAGCTGTAGTCCCAGCTACTCTGGAGGCTGAGGTGGGAGGATTGCTTGAGCCCTGGAGGTCGAGGCTGCAGTGAGCTGTGACCATGCCACTGTACTCCAATGTGGGTGACAGAGCAAGACCTTGTCTCTAACTTAATCAATTAAAATAAAGAAGGAACAGGCCAGGTATGGTGGCTCAAACCTATAATCCCAGCACTTTGTGAGGCTGACACAGGAGGATCACTTGAGGCCAGGAGTTTGAGAGCAGCCTGGACAACACGGTGAGACCCAGTCTCTAAAAAAAAAAAAAAAAAAATTCTCTACTAAAAATACAAAAATTAGCTGGGCATGGTGGCACACGCCTGTAGTCCCAGCTACTTGGGAGACTGAGGCAGGAGAATTGCTTGAACCCAGGAGGTGGAGGTTGCAGTGAGCCAAGATCACGCCACTGCATTCCAGTCTGGGCAACAGGGCAAGACTCCATCTCAAATAAATAAATAAATAAATAGGCTGGGCGCAGTGGCTTACGCCTGTAATCCCAGCACTTTGGGAAACCGAAGCGGGCGGATCACGAGGTCAGGAGATCGAGACCATCCTGCTAACTCGGTGAAACCCTGTCTCTACTAAAAATACAAAAAAAAAAAAAAAAATTAGCCAGGTGTAGTGGCAGCACCTGTAGTCCCAGCTACTCGGGAGGCTGAGGCAGGAGAATGGCGTGAACCCGGGAGGCGGAGCTTGCAGTAAGCCAAGATCGTGCCACTGCACTCCAGCCTGGGCGACAGAGCGAGACTCCGTCTCATAAATAAATAAACAAATAGGCAAAAGATCTGCATAAACATTTATTTAAAGAAGCTAACACGAATGACTTAGAAGCACATAAGATGCTCAACATCAATAATCATCAGGGAAATGCCAAACTCATCTACAATAAAGTACCGCTGCAGATCGCCACCTTGAATGGCTGGAACAATACTAAGCATTGGGGAGGATATGGAGAACTGGAACCTTTATACATTCCTAGTGGGAATGTAAAACTGTTCAGAAAAGTTTGATAATTTCTCCAAAGTTTGAACATCAACTTACCATACAGCCCAACACTTTCACTCCTAGGTATCTACCCCCCAAAAGTGGAAATGTGTGTCCCCACAGAGACTTGGACACAAATGTCACAGCAGCATGAGTCATAATAAGTAAACACTGGAAACAATCCAAATGTCCTTCAATGGTAAATGGACAAGAAAACATTACATAAAAATACTATTCATGAGAAGGAATTAACTACTAATACATGCAACAATATGCATGAGCTCAAAAACATAATGTGAGGTGCAAGAAACCAGGCAGAATAAACTAGTCTATGCATTAGTTTCCAGTTGCTGCCGGCACAGGTCCCCACACACATCGTGGCTGATAACCACACACATTTATTACCTTACGGTCCCGTAGCTCACAAATCTGAGATGAGTCTTACAGGACAAAAATCCAGGTGTTGGCTTCCTTTGGGAAGCTCCAGGGAAAATCTGTATCTTCGCGTTTTCCAGCTTGCCCTGCATCCCTTGGTTCATAGTGTCTTCCTCCATCTTTAAAGCCAGCAGCCGAACATCTTCCAGGTTCTTTTTCTCAGATCCTAGCATCACATTGACTTCTCTGACTCTAAGGCTCCTACCTCTCTCTCTCTCTCTCTTTTTTTTTTTTTTTTTTTTTCCAGAGACAGAGTCTCCCTCTGTCGCCCAGGCTGGAGTGCAATGGCGTGACCTCGGCTCACTGCAACCTCTGCCTCCTGGGTTCAAGCGATTCTCATACCTCAGCCTCCTGAGTAGCTGGGATTACAGGCACCCGCCACCATGCCTGGCTAATTTCTGTATTTTTAGTAGAGACAGGGTTTCACCGTGTTAGCCAGGATGGTCTCCATCTAGCCAGGATGGTCTCGATCTCCTGACCTCATGATCTGCCCGCCTCAGCCTCCCAAAGTGCTGGGATTACAGGTGTGAGCCACCACACCCGGCCAACTACTTTTAATTATACACAAATTAAGGTGCAAGTTATTCAGAAAGTTTTAGAAAAAGGGCGTTAACTTTAGGGTAGTTATCATGGGAACGGGCAGTAACTTGTGGGCATTGCCATGGCAATGGAAACAGTACTGGCAGGTGTGTCTCACGGAGAGGTGCTTTTGCCTCTTTCCAGTTGCAGCCAGTTTTTTTTGTTTTTTTTTTTTTTTTTGAGACAGAGTCTCCCTCTGTCACCCAGGCTGTACTGCAGTGGCGCGATCTCGGCTCACTGCAACCTCTGCCTCCTGGGTTCAAGCGATTCTCCTGCCTCAGCCTCCCGAGTAGCTGGGACTACAGGCACCAGCCACCACACCTGGCTAATTTTTGTATTTTTAGTAGAGATGGATTTTCACCGTGTTAGTCAGGATGGTCTCGAACTCCTGACCTCATGATCTGCCTGCCTTTTCCGCCTCCCAAAATGCTGGGATTACAGGCGTGAGCCACCGCGCCCAGCCTTCAGCCAGTCTTTAATCTGGTCTGGAATAAAGTTCGGCCTCCTACCTCAAAATCAGAATATATCTTACAATGATGGCATACAGTAACCACAGGGGGGAAAAATGCTCAAGACCATTAGTCATACCAGAATACATCTTACAATGACAGTGCAGTAACCACAGGGAAAAAAATGCGCAAGACCATTAGTAATCAGGGAAATGCAAATTCAAGTCACAAGAATACACAGGTACACTGGCACACGCCTGTAGTTACAGCTACCTGGGGGGCTGATGCGGGAGGATCCCTTGAGCCTGGGAGTTCCAGGCTGCAGTGAGCCATGATCACATCACTGCACTCCAGCCTGGGTGACAGGATGAGATCTCTTCTCTAAAAATATATATAAAATTTTAAAAATCACGAGATACCACTACCCACTCATTGGCTACAATGAAGACGCTTGGCAACACCAAATGTTGGGAAGGATGTGGAGCAACCGAAACACTCATACACTGTTGGTAGGACTTTTTATTATTATTATTATTATTTTTGAGACAAAGTCTTGCTCTGTCACACAGCCTGGAGTGCAATGACTCAATTTCGGCTCACTGCAACCTCCGCCTCCCAGGTTCAAGCGACCTCATGCCTCAGCCTCCTGAGTAGCTAGGATTACAGGCACCTGCCACTACGCCTGGCTAATTTTTGTGTCTTTTAGTAGAGACGGGTTTCACCATGTTGGCCAGGTTGGTCTCAAACTCCTGACCTTAGGTGATCCACCCGCTTGGGCTTCCCAAAGTGCTGGGATTACAGGCATGAGCCACCTCGCCTGGCCTGGTAGGAAAGTTTTTAAATGTATGGTTGCTTTGGGAAACGCTAAACATATACCCAGGCTATGCCTCAGCAATTTGGTTTCTACATATGCCCAAGAGAAATGAAAACAAGCCCGGGCAACATGAGACCCCACCTCCACAAAAAGAAAAAAAAATTAAAAAAATAATGGGGTATGGAAGCGTGTGCCTGTAGCCTCAGCTACCCAGGAGACTGAGTGAGAGGATAGCTTGAGCCAGGGGATCGAGGCTGCAGTGAGCTGCAATGGGCCACTGCACTCCAGCCTGAGAGAGAGTGAGACCTTTCCTCTAAAAATAACAATAAAAGCAATACGGTCTGGCCTGGCGCAATGGCTCACGCCTGTAATCCCAGCACTTTGGAAGGCCTGGGGGGCAGATCACCTGAGCTCAGGAGTTCCAGACCAGCCTGGTCAAAATGGTGAAACCCTGTTTCTAAAACTAAAAATACAGAAATTAGCCAGGCGTGGTGGTGCACGCCTGTAATTCCAGCTACTTGGGAGGCTGAGGCAGGAGAATCACTTGAACCCAGGAGGCGAAGGTAGCAGTGAGCTGAGACCGTGCCATTGCACTCCAGCCTGGGCAACAAGAGCAAAACTCTGTCTCAAAAAAACAACACGTTCATGTGCTGCTCAACGGTGAAGCTACGTCCTGAGAAATGTGTCATTAGGCGATTTTGTTGTGACAAACCTAGATGGGACAGCCTACCCCACACCTAGGCCAGATAATCCGAACAACACGTGGTAATCTTTTATTTATTTGTGTATTTGTTTTTGAGATGGAGTCTCGCTCTGTCGCCCAGGCTGGAGTGCAGAGGCACAATCTCGGCTCACTGCAACCTTTGCCTCCGGGGTTGAAGCGATTCTCCTGCTTCAGCCACCGGAGTTAGCTAGGATTACGGCGCCCTCCAGCCCCCACACCCGGCTACTTTTTGTATTTTCAGTAGAGACGGGGTTTCACCATGTTGGTCAGGCTTGTCTCGAACTCCTGGATTCATGATCCGCCACCCCCGCTCGGCCTCCCAAAGTGGTGGGACGACAGATGTGAGCCCCCGCGTCTGGCCAACACGTGGTAATCTGAAGGGACCACCACAGTATATGCGGCCCGCCTTCCACCGAAACGTCACGAGGCCCGCGACTCAAAGGCGTGCTCCATTGTTACCGATAGCCCCAAACTCGCCCTTCCACGCCAGGCCTCGAGGTGCTCTGTGGACCACGGCGGGGCCCGTGGCCCTCGCGAGGGAGGGAAGGCGCTCCAGGTTCCCGCGATTCCCCCGGAAAGTGAAACTGCAGAGGCGCCACGTGGACACCGGCGGTCAGACGCGACCCCAGGCCGCACCGGCCCCAAAGGAAACTAGCGGGAGTCCATGGGGCGGGAGCGCGAGTCCGCGGTGGTGGCTGGGCGCTCAGTGAAGACGCCATTCCGCCACGAAAATGCCCGCGACGCCGCTCCGCGGTGGCGCGAGGCGGGCTGGCCGGACCTGCGAAGCCCCTCGAGCTCGGCGCCGGCTGGCTGCGGCCTTGCTCTGCCTCCCCGGCCTGGCCGCGAGGCTCCCGAAAGCCGGGATCCGCGAGCACTGGGGCCGACCCGACTCTCTCGGGCCTCAGACGGCGTGGGCCGTGGAGAACTCCGGTGCGGCCTCTTTCCCGGAAGTCCCCCAGTGGGCTCCGGCCGCTCTGGCCCGCGCGCGCCCGGCTCGCTGGTGCCCTGGGCGGCGCCCGGCCGCTGGCGCTTCTCCGGCGCTAGGGGGCGCGCGGCCGCGGTGGAGCCGCACTGGGCCGCGGCGGCCGCTCGACTGCTCTGAGGCGCGGTCCGGACGCGCACCGCCCCCGCCCGCGTTCCCCCGGCAACCTGCGGCCGCCGCCATGGACGCGCTGTTGGGCACAGGGCCTCGCCGGGCTCGCGGCTGCCTGGGCGCGGCTGGACCCAGGTCTTCAGGCCGCGCGGCGCGGACCCCGGCGGCGCCCTGGGCGCGCTTCTCCGCCTGGCTGGAGTGCGTGTGCGTGGTCACCTTCGACCTGGAGCTGGGCCAGGCGCTGGAGGTGAGCGGGCGCGGGCGGGTGGGCAGGGCTGGGCCGCTTGGGGCCCTCGGCCGCCCCGCACTCTCCCTGGCCTTCGGCCGCCGCCTCCTGGAGGGGCCTCTTCCCCGGGCTCCAGAAGCGCTTCCCAGGCACAGGAGGGAAGGCCAGCCGCTCGGAGTCGGATCTTGTCTTCACATTGAGATGGAGAATTTTGCATCTCCTGAGTGGTACTCTTTCGATTTTTCTCAGTAAATATCTCACATCTCCCCACTCCATTCCCCACCGGAGTAGTGACACCTTCATCCCCGCAGTGGCTCCCGCCAGAGTCCCTGCCTTACCCTCTGCTCCGCGTCCCATCTCTGGGCATAGGCAAGGCTGACGGCTCCTTCTGCAACAAAGGTCTCGGATCCGTTCTTTTGCTGCCGTCACTGATGTCATCCCCGCCCCAGCTGCACCCCAGAGTTCAATCTTTGTTGCTCTCCTGCTTAAAACCCTGCAGCGCCTCCTTGTTCACCTAGAATCGGATCCAGACCCCATGGGCCCTTGTCCCTCGACCTGCGTCTTGTGTTCTTGCTCTAGGGGGTCTGTTCATCGGCTGTGCCCATGGGCTTTCGATGTGGTCTTCCTGCTGCCTGCAGGCCTCCACTCACCTACCCACACACGCAGCCTCCCTTCCTCCAGGGAGGCCCCGCAGGATGATCTTCTCTGTGTCCTGTATGACACACACGGGAGAGCTGACCAGCACAGGGGAGGTCCACCTGCAGGTGGAGGGAGGCTTCCCCGCACTGGCGGAAGGAACCTCCTGAGAGGTAGTGAGCGCTCCATTACTGCAGGTGTCCAAGGTGAGGCCAAATTGTCATCATCAGGAAAGCCAGACAGCATGTCTTTGTGGTTGGGAGATGCTTTCTAAGGCCCTGCTGAACTCCAAGAAGCCATAAGAAGCCTATAGTCTTCCAAACAGAAAACAGAAAAGCGTTAACTTTAGCACTCTCTGGAGCACCTTCCACCACACAATGTCCCCAGCAGGTGCGCCGTCTCGAACAGCATCACTGGGTGGGGGCTGAGTATCAAGAACTGTGGTGACCTGTCCAGGGTTGAGAGCCCACTTTCTTAGTTCAATACTGTTGCCCAGATTGTTACCCACAAAATCACAAAAGTTAAGAGGTTCCGGCCGGATGCGGTGGCTCACCCCTGTAATCCCAGCACTCTGTGAGGCCGAGGCCGGCAGATTACCTGAGGTCAGGAGTTCAAGACCAGCCTGGCCAACATGGTGAAACCCCGTCTCTACTAAAAATACAAAAATTAGCTGGGTGTGAGGATGGGCGCCTGTAATCCCAGCTACTTGGGAGGCAGAGGAAGGAGAATCGCTTGAACCCAGGAAGCAGAGGTTACAGTGAGCCGAGATCGCACCATTGTACTCAAGCCTGGTAACAAGAGTGAGACTTCATCTCAAAAAACAAAAAACAAACAAAAAAAGAAGTTAAGAAGTTCCTGGCCCGGTGCGGTGACTCACGCCTGTAATCCCAGCACTTTGAGGGGCTGAGGCAGGCGAATCACAAGGTCAGGAGTTTGAGACCATCCTGGCCAACATGGTGAAACCGCATCTCCACTAAAAATACAAAAATTAGCCGGGCGTGGTGGCAGGCTCCTGTAGTCCCAGCTACTCGGGAGGCTGAGGCAGGAGAATCACTTGAACCCAGGACAAGGAGGTTGCAGTGAGCTGAGATCGCACCACCACACTCCAGCCTGGGTGACAAACTGAGACTACATCTCAAAAAAAAAAAAGTTAAGAAGTTCCTCTGTTCCTTAAGGCATTCTCGTGTTATTTTCTAAACCCCATTTGGAAAGTTACTTCTGAGCTGTTGAAGGCTGTGTGTGGTTGGGATACCCAGCTCGGAATGGGGGCATGGTCAGCTGGCAGAGTGCTGGGGACCCGGGTCCATGTCCGAAGCCTCCACAGCAGTGACCTGGACACCTACAGATCACTGGGTCTGTGCAGAAACCTGGCAGTGGATCCACTGGGGCCTGAGCACATGACTCTTGCTTTTCTTCCCTCCCCTGGAAGTCACGGGGAAGATTGAGGTCGTTTTAGTCACTTACAGACTTTTAGGGAGCACCCACTGTGCACTCAGTCACAGCTCAGCCCAGCTAAGCACCACAAAGTCCCAGGGCTGTGCTTGGTTCTGCGACGTGGAAGGAAGACTCTAGTTGGGATGCATGTAGCTCAGAGGATGGAACGGGCTTAGGTAAATAAGTCTTGGACGCTGAGAAGAGACAGGGGAGGGGGTCCTGTTTCAGGTAACCCCTCTCCCAAAATGGCAACATAAGCAGAAGGCAAAGAGCTGGTGATTCAGTTACTCATTCAGTAAATCACTTTGAAGGCCAAGTGCAGTGGCTCACGCCTGTAATCCCAGCACTTTGGGAGGCCGAGGTGGGCAGATCACCTGTGTTCAGGAGTTTAAGACCAGCCTGACCAACATGGAGAAACCCTGTTTCTACTAAAAATGCAAAATTAGCCGGGCATGTTGGCGCATGCCTGTAATCCCAGCTACTCAGGAAACTGAGGCAGGAGAATCGCTTGAACCCAGGAGACAGAGGTTGCGGTGAGCTGAGATTGCACCATTGCACTCCAGCCTGGGCAACAAGAGCAAAACTCCATCTCACAAAAACAAAACAAAACAAAAAACTGTAAATCACATTAAGCAGCTATCACCAGCCCAGCCCCACAATACTGGTGCCCAGCACATGAGAAGACAAGGCTCTAGCCCTCTAGGAGTTCACACTATATGCCAGTGATATGGAGAGTAAGTGGTTCAGGGTCCATAGTGCTCACAGGATACCCCTGCAACTGTACACATGGGGGCACCATGGAAATGAGTGCAGTGCAGCCTGCTTGTGAGATGAGGGGTCCATCTTGAGAGGGGCCAGCAGGGCTGTGGGGTGACAAGGGGTCTGGCTTGAGAGGGGCTGGGCAGGACTGTGGGGTGACTGGAGTGTACAGGTCAGCTTAGGAAAGGGCCTGGCTCCGCCTTCTCAGCTCTTGAAAACTCACCTCTTGGGCCAGGCACAGTGGTTCCTGCCTATAATCCCAGTACTTTCAGAGGCCGAGGCGGGAGGATCACTTGAGGCCAGGTGTTCCAGACTAGCCTAGGAAACATAGTGAGACCCTGTCTCTACCAAAAATAAAAATAAATTAGCCAGGTGTGGTGGCGTGCACCTGTAGTTACAGCTACTCAGGAGACTGAGGCCGTAGGATTGCTTGAGCCCAGGAATTCAAGGCTGTGGTGGGCCATGATCACTGCACTCCAGCCTGGGTTACGAGAACCTGTCTCGAAACAAAATTAAAAGAAAAAAAAAGGCTAGGCATGCTGGCTTATGCCTGTAATCCTAGCACTTTGGAAGCCCAAGGTGGGAGGAGCACTTGAGCCCAGGAGTTCTAGACCAGCCTGGTCAATATAGCAAGACCCACAATCTCTACAAAAAATACAAAATGAGGCCGGGTGTGGTAGCTCACGCCTGTTATCTTAGCACTTTAGGAGGCTGAGGCAGGGGGATCGTGTGAGCTCAGAAGTTTGAGACCAGCCTGGGCAACATGGTGAAACCCCGTCTCTACTAAAAATACAAAAGATTAGCCGGGCATTGTACGCCTGTAATCCCAGCTACTCTGGAGGCTGAGTTAGGAGAATCGCTTGAACCCAGGAGGTGGAAGTTGCAGTGAGATGAGATCGTGCCACTGCACTCCAGCCTGGGTGACGGAACTGGAGCGCAGCTCTCAAAAAAAAAAAAAAAGAAAGAAAAAGAAAAAAGAGCCAGGCATGGTGGCACACACCTGTTGTCTCAGCTACTCAGGAGGCTGAGGTGGGAGAACTGCTTGAGTCCAGGAGTTGGAGGTTGAGCCTGTCTGTTAAAAAACAAGCCGGGTAGGCCGGGCGCGGTGGCTCAAGCCTGTAATCCCAGCACTTTGGGAGGCCGAGACGGGCGGATCACGAGGTCAGGAGATCGAGACCATCCTGGCTAACACGGTGAAACCCCGTCTCTACTAAAAAATACAAAAAACTAGCCGGGCGTGGTGGCGGCGCCTGTAGTCCCAGCTACTCGGGAGGCTGAGGCAGGAGAATGGCGTAAACCCGGGAGGCGGAGCTTGCAGTGAGCTGAGATCCGGTCACTGCACTCCAGCCTGGGCGACAGAGCCAGACTCCGTCTCAAAAAAAAAAAAAAAACACAAGCCGGGTGTGGTGGCTCACACCTGTAATCCCAGCACTCTGGGAGGCCGAGGCGGGCGGATCACAAGGTCAGGATATCGAGACCATCCTAGCTAACACAGTGAAACCCCGTCTCTACTAAAACTACAAAAAAAAAAAAAAAAAAAAATAGCCGGGCATGGTGGCAGGCGCCTGTAGTCCCAGCTACTCAGGAGGTTGAGGCAGGAGAATTGCTTGAACCCGGAAAGTGGAGCTTGCAGTGAGCAGAGATCACATCATTACACTCCAGACTGGTGACAGAGCAAGACTCTGTCTCAAAAAAAAAAAAAAAGTCCAACCAAATAGAAAACAGATGGATTCTCATCAGCGCTGCATTCAGCCCACCAGGACAGGACACACTGGCTTCCAGGAGCCATGCTGTACATGAGGGTGAAGATGAGAGACAAGGAGGCTCTCTCGTAGGAGAACAGCTTTGACCCCGGGGATCCCGAGGGGGGCCAGGCCATACCTTCAGAACTGCTCCCTGGATGTGCCTTCTCCAAGCCAAGCTCCCACCCGGAGTCTTTCTCAGTGACTGCTCCCCAGGAGCAGAGACCGGTGCAGGCTGCCTCAGGTGAAAAGGGCGAGACCCTTGCGGAAGCCCGAGCAGGGCACAGCCTGGCCTGGGAGGCCTGCATGCCCTCAGGATCAGCTCCAGGTGTCCCCTCACCTTGGCATGCCCAACCCCAGGTAGCCTGACCCCTGGCTCAGTACTCAGCTTCAGGCTGTAACTGGGCCCCAGGGCCACTCCCAAAGATGGTGAGCCTGAGAATGTGGGTTTCCCTGGTCAGACATGCTGAGGGCCCCCTGGGCATGGGCACGGAGCTCAGAGGCCACAAGCTCCCGTGACCAGCAGACCAGGTACAGAGTCCTGACCTGAGGCAGAGGGTACCTGCCTTTCCTCAGCCCTCCTCAGTGCGGACACATGAAGGCTCAGACTGAGTGGCCCTATATCCCCAGCCCCTCATGGAGCTATCCTGAGGCACCCCTGTGGGTCCAGCCTACTCCCAGCTTCCTCCTTCGTCTTCCTCCTGACCATTCCTTGGTACCTGTTTAGCTCCCCTCCACCCACCTGTCCTAGTAGACCTCAGAGACCTCATCACATATGCCACAAACACTGTATTTGGGGAGGGTCTGTTCTGTGCCAGGTGCTGGGAGGCAGAAGTAACCAGGACAGGGTCCCTGCCTTAAAGAGATTTGCTCTGCGTTGGAAGAGACAAAGCAGGACCGACCACAGTAGCAAGCCCAGAGCAAACAAAAGCAGAGCTATTTTCACAGAGCAAGCGGGGCACAGTGGCTCACGCCTGTACTCCCAGCACTTCAGGAGGCTCAGGTGGGAGGATTGCTTGAGCCTAGAAGTTCAAGGCTGCAGTGAGCTGTGATTGCGCCGCTGCGCTCCAGCCTGGGTGACGGAGCGAGACCCCGTCTCTCAAAAACAAAATGGCAGATGCTTTCATCCAGGGCCTGGCTCCTCACTGTCTGGGGGCTCAGGGCACATCTTGGAAGAAGCCTTATTATAGCCTAAATTCAACTCAGTGGAGAAGTTGGGCAGATGGGATGAGGAGGGGACAGTGTACAGAGGCCCTCCCAGCAGGCTTCAGACAGCCCAGGAGACACTGCAGGGTCCACTGGGAATGGGGGCCCTGGGAGGTCCCTAGACGGAAAGTGGTCCACGTGTGCATGGACCTGCTGGGCTGGGCTCCCAGGGTCACCTGCCCCACCTGCTGCCTCTTGTCAGTGCACACCTGTCTTCCAGGTCATTCAGCGCCTGCTTAGTGTCATGCTCTCCCCCACTGTCCACTCCTGGGGGTGCAGGGCTTGTCCGGCTGGGTACTCACTGGGCACTGCAGGTGGGGCACAGGCCCTGGCAGGGGGAGGCTGGGTGCAGACTACTGAGCACAATGGGGAGAGGGCCTGACGGCAGGCTGCCATCATGGAGCAGGTGTGCTTCCGGGCCTGCATCTGAGCAAAAGCTCGGGGAGCAGCATGTCCGGGGCCCCCTGGTTTGGCAGGTGGTGATGGAGATGGAGGACCAGCCAGGTGGGGCCCTGTGACCGTCCCGGGTGAGGGGCCTCTGGATCCCTGAAGCACTACCCTTCTGATGTCTGATGCTGTGAACTGATGTCTGGGTGTGTAGGGGCAGGGGGGCCCAACTGCAGTCTGGGCAAGAGGTGGTTGGGTGGCTGTGAGGACCAGGGGTGAGAAAGGGGTCAGGAAGCCCACCCCGTTGTGCTGGCCTCTTACCGAGAGGGACCTGGGGAGGTGAGAGGAGAGAAGCCTCCAGCTGGCAGGGGAGTTAGCTGCCTGGGGCCTGGTGCCTGGAGGTCAGAGAGAGGAGCGGGTCAGCAAGGAGCTGGGCACAGTAGCCAGAGAAGATGGTGTGGGGAGGACGCAGCACGCTGTTGGAGCAGGGAGCCGGGGGCGAGCCAGCACCATGGCACTGACCTGCGCCCCAGAGACAGATGCTGCAGCTGCTGGGACGGTCCCAGTCCAGCGGATGCCATCAAGGGGTGTTGCCTCCTTGGGCAGATGGCATCACCAGGCGCTCTGTCTTCCTCTGCAGCTGGTGTATCCAAATGACTTCCGGCTCACAGACAAGGAGGTGAGTCCTGGCCCTCTTGGGAATGGATGGGACCCAGGAGTGGGTCGGCCCTCACCGGGTTTTGTATGTTTCAGAAAAGCAGCATCTGCTACCTGTCTTTTCCCGACTCACACTCAGGTAGGTGACCCCATCTTTATTGGGGCTGGGCATGAAGCCAGCTGGGCGTCCCTGTAGCCCAGGCCAGGGGCATCACGGCTGCCTAGGCTGCCCATGTGCAGAGTGCCACAGGGGGTGGGCAGCACCAGCCCCATGCCCACTCAGTGGAGGCACCCAGATCTCGGCATTGCAGCAGGTCAGGCAGGTCCCCAGATGCACGTGGAAAGGGTGTCTCTGGCCGGGCGCAGTGGCTCAAGCCTGTAATCCCAGCACTTTGGGAGGCCAAGATGGGTGGATCACGAGGTCAGGAGATCGAGACCATCCTGGCTAACACGGTGAAACCCCATCTCTACTAAAAATACAAAAAAATTAGCCGGGCGTGGTGGCGGGCGCCTGTAGTCCCAGCTACTCGGGAGGCTGAGGCAGGAGAATGGCGTGAACCCAGGAGGCGGAGCTTGCAGTGAGCCGAGATAGTGCCACTGCACTCCAGCCTGGGCGACAGACAGAGCAAGACTCCACCTCAAAAAAAAAAAAAAAAACAGCCTGGTCAATATAGCAAGACCCACACCAAAAAATACAAAATGAGGCCGGGTGTGGTAGCTCACGCCTGTTATCTTAGCACTTTAGGAGGCTGAGGCAGGGGGATCGTGTGAGCTCTGGGTAGTTTGAGACCAGCCTGGGCAACATGGCAGGAAACCCTGTCTCTACTAAAAAAATACAAAAGATTAGCTGTACGCCTGTAATCCCAGCTACTCTGAGGCTGGAGTTAGGGAGAATCGCTTGAACCCAGGAGGTGGAAGTTGCAGTGAGATGAGATCGTGCCACTGCACTCCAGCCTGGGTGATTTGAACTGAGCGCAGCTCTCAAAAAAAAAAAAAAGAAAGAAAAGAAAAAGAGCCAGGCATGGTGGCACACACCTGTTGTCTCAGCTACTCAGGAGGCTGAGGTGGGAGAACTGCTTGCTTCAGGAGGCTGAGGTTGAGCCTGTCTGTTAAAAAAAAACAAGCCGGGTATGTGTGGGGGCGCGGTGGCTCAAGCCTGTAATCCCAGCACTTTGGGAGGCCGAGACGGCGGATCACAAGGTCAGGAGATCGAGACCATCCTGGCTAACACGGTGAAACCCTGTCTCTACTAAAAATACAAAAACTAGCCGGGCGTGGTGGCGGGCGCCTGTAGTCCCGGCTACTCAGGAGGCTGAGGCAGGAGTAGGGGAACAAGGTAATCCCGGGAGGCGGGAGCTGCAGTGAGCTGATCCGGTCACTGCACTCCAGCCTAAGTGACAGAGCCAGACTCCGTCTCAAAAAAAAAAAAAAAAAAAACACAAGCCGGGTGTGACCTGTAATCCCAGCACTTTGGGAGGCCGATGGGCGGATCACAAGGTCAGGAGGACGAGACCATCCTAGCCAAGACAGTGAAACCCCGTCTCTAAACTACAAAAAAAAAAAAAAAAAAAAGCCGGGCATGGTGGCAGGCGCCTGTAGTCCCAGCTACTCAGGAGGTTGAGGCAGGAGAATTGCTTTTGAACCCGAAAGTGGAGCTTGCAGGAGCAGAGATCACATCATTACACTCCAGACTGGTGACAGAGCAAGACTCTGTCTCAAAAAAAAAAAAAAAAAAAAAAAAAGTCCAACCAAATAGAAAACAGATGGATTCTCATCAGCGCTGCATTCAGCCCACCAGGACACACTGGCTTCCAGGAGCCATGCTGCATGAGGGTGAAGATGAGACAAGGAGGCTCTCTCGCAGAGAACAGCTTTGACCCTCGGGACGCAGGGGCCAGAAGCCATACCTTCAGAACTGCTCCCTGGATGCTCTCTCCTCCAAGCCAAGCTCCCACCCGGGAGTTCAGTGACTGCTCTGTATAGAGACCGGTGCCGCCTCAGGTGAAAGGGCGAGACCTCTGCGAAGCCCGAGCAGGGCACAGCCTGGCCTGGGAGGCCTGCATGCGTCTCAGACTCACCCAGGTGTTTCACCTTGGCTGCCCAACCCAGGTAGCGCCTGACCCCTGGCTCAGTACCAGCTTCAGGCTGTAACTGGGCCCTGTGGGCCACTCCCAAAGCATGGTGTGAGCCTAGAGAATGGGTTTCCTGGTCAGACATGGCCCTGGGCATGTGGGCACGGAGCCTGGGAGGCCACAAGCTCCCCGTGACCAGCAGACCAGGCATGGACCTGAGGCAGAGGGTACCTGCCTTCCTCGTAGCCCCTCCTCAGTGCGGACACATGAAGGCTCAGACTCAGTGGCTCCTATATCTCAGCCCCTCATGGCTATCCCCAGCACCCCTGTGGCCTACCCCAGCTTCCTCCTTCTGTCTTCCCTCCTCCTGACCATTCCTTGGTACCTGTTTGCTTCCTCCACCCACCTCGTCCTAGTAGACCCCAGAGACCATCAAGCATATGCCACAACACTGTATTTGGGGAGGGCCCTGTGCCAGGTGCTGGGAGGAAGTAACCAGGACAGGGTCCCTGCCTTAAAAGAGATTTAAGTCATGTGTTGGAAGAGACAAAGCAGACTGACCACAGTAGCAAGCCTAGAGCAAACAAAAGCAGACAGAGCTATTTCACAGAGCAAGCGGGCACAAGTGGCTACGCCTGCTGTACTCCCAGCACTTCAGGAGGCTCAGGTGGGAGGATTGCTTGAGCTTGAAGTTCAAGGCTGCAGAGCTGGTGATTGCCGCTGCGTCCCAGCTCCAGGACGGAGCGAGAGACCTTCGCCTCTCAAAAACAAAATGCAGCGCTTTCATCCAGCCTGGCTCCTCACCGCTGGGGCTCAGGGCACATCTTGGAAGAAGCCTTATTATAGCCTAAATTCAACTCAGTGGAGAAGTTGGGCAGATGGGATGAGGAGGGGACAGTGTACAGAGGCCCTCCCAGCAGGCTTCAGACAGCCCAGGAGACACTGCAGGGTCCACTGGGGGAATGGGGGCTCCAAGTGGAGTCCCTAGACGGAAAGTGGTCCATTGCACATGGACCTGCTGGGGCTGGCTCCTGTCACCTGCCACCTGCTGCTCTCTTCTTGTCAGTGCACACCTGTCTTCCAGAATATTCAGCGCCTGCTTAGTGTCATGCTCTCCCCCACTGTCCACTCCTGGGGGTGCAGGGGCTTGTCCGGCTGCACTCACTCTGGGCACTGCAGGTGGGGCACAGGCCCTGGCAGGGGGAGGCTGGGTGCAGACTACTGAGCACAATGGGGAGAGGGCCTGACGGCAGGCTGCCATCATGGGAGCAGGTAAGCCTGGCCTGCAGACTGAGCAAAAGCTCGGGAGCAGCATGTCGGGGCCCCCTGGTTTGGCAGGTGATGGAGAGATGGAGGACCAGCCAGGTGGGGCCCTGTGACCGCCCCGGGTGAGGGGCCTCTGGATCCCCAAGCACTACCCCCTTCTGATGTCTGATGCTGTGAACTGGATGTCTGGGTGTGTAGGGGCAGGGGGCCCAACTGCAGTCTGGGCAAGAGGCTGGGTGGCTGTGAGACCAGGGGGGTGAGAAAGGGGTCATGGCTTCCACCCTGCCAGCTTGGCCTCCACGAGAGGGACCTGGGAGGAGAGGAGAAGCCTGTGGAAAGTTAGCTGCTGCCTGGGGCCTGGTGCCTGGAGGTCAGAGAGAGAGAGGAGCGGGTCAGCAAGGAGCTGGGCATGTGCAGCTGAGAAGATGGTGGGGGGAGGACGAGCACGCCTGTTGGAGCAGGGAGAGCCGGGGGCGAGCCAGACCATGGCAGAGAATCTCTGACCTGCGCCCCCAGAGAGACAGAGATTGCTGCAGCTGTTGGGACGTGTCCCAGTCCAGCCGATGCCATCAAGGGGTGTTGCCTCCTTGGGCAGATGGCATCACCAGGCGCTCTGTCTTCCTCTGCAGCTGGTGTATCCAAATGATCGCTCTCACAGACAAGGAGGTGAGTCCTGGCCCTCTTGGGAATGGATGGGACCCAGAGTGGGTTTGGCCCTCACTGGTTTTGTATGTTTGTGAAAAAAGCAGCATCTGCTACCTGTCTTTTCCCCACTCACACTCAGGTAGGTGACCCATCTTTATTGGGGGCTGGGCATACAGCTGCGCTCCTGTAGCTCAGGCCAGGTATCACCTAGGCTGCCCATGTGCAGAGTGCCACAGGGGCAGCACCAGCCCCATGCCCACTCAGTGGAGGCACCCAGATCTCGGCATTGCAGGTCATAGGCAGGTCCCCAGATGCACGTGAAAAGTCTCTGGCCGGGCGCAGTGGCTCAAGCCTGCAATCCCAGCACTTTGGGAGTACAAGATGGGTGGACGATCTGTCAGAGATTTCATCCTGGCTAACAGAAACTCTATTAAAATACAAAAATAGCTTATGTAAGGGTTAGCAGGTATAAATCACAGTGAGCTGAGGCACTCATTCAGAGCAAGACTCCACCTCAAAAAAAAAAAAAAAAAAAAAAAAGAAAGGGTGTCTCTCTGCAGAGAGACCAACAGTCTCGTACACCCCACACAGTGGCCACAAGGGGCTGGGCCTCCCTCCCGCTCCTGCCCCAGGGCATAGACATCTGGGTAACCATTTTCTAGTGCCTGGTTTCTGTCTCAAGCATGTTGAGCCAATCTCCCAGATAGGCTGAAGGTGCGTTTCTGTGCGAACATATTCTAAGGCCTGTAGGTGCAGGGTGTGCAGGAGTCAGAATAGGAGCCCACTGGGAAACACAGGCCCCTTCAGCTGGGCATTCTTTCTGAGGCTTTTTTTTTTTAATTTTTGAGATGGAGTCTGACTCTGTCACCCAGGCTAGAGTGCAGTGGCGCAGTCTCAGCTCACTGCAACCTCCACCTCCCGTGTTCAAGTGATTCTCCCGCCTCAGCCTCCCAAGTAGCTGGAATTACAGGCGTGTGCCACCATGCCTGGCTACTTTTTTGCTACTTTTTGTCTTTTTAGTAGAGACAGGGTTTCACTGTGTTGGCCAGGCTCGCAGGGCCCTTGCTCCCCGGTCCCCAGCTCCCAGCCCTGACGTGTGGTGGGCTGCCCCCTTCTCAGGCTGCCTCGGAGACACTCAGTTCAGCTTCCGCATGCGCCAGTGTGGAGGGCAGAGGAGCCCCTGGCATGCTGACGATAGGCACTACAACAGCAGGGCCCCCATGGCACTGCAGGTGAGCACTGGGCTGCGTCTCTGGCCTGCTTCTCTTCCCCTGCTCCCCACGGTTCCTGCCAGGGTCAGGCTGGTGGGAGAAGCCCCTTCGGAGTGCCTGGGCACTGTGTGGCAGGAGAGGAGCTGGCCATGCCCCGCTGACCCTGCAGTCCCAGGCACCAGCCCCAACTGAGGATGGGCCAGCTCTTCCGGGGGCTCCCCAGGGTCCCTGGGGCTTTCCCTTGGCACCACACATCCGTGACTGGGCATCTGCATAGTTGAACAGGGGCCCACGTGAACCTCCCAGGGCCCCCAGCACCGTGAACCCCTCTCCCCTACACCAGCAGACTCCCTGCTGTATCAGCAGGGCTGTTACCCACCTTCTGAGCCCAGGACCTCCTGGCCTCCGCCTTGGTGGCCAGAAGGCAGGGACAGAAGCTCCAGGAGCCTCCTGGTTCTCCAGGCTCCCATCGGCTGCAGTCCCTGCATGCTTCTTGCCACTCCCAGCCCTGGGGCAGGGCCAGGTGGTCTGGGTGGGGCATGGCCTGGCTAACCCTTGCTCCTTCCAGAGGGAGCCGGCGCACTACTTCGGCTATGTGTACTTCAGACAGGTGAAGGACCGCTCCGTGAAGAGGGGCTACTTCCAGAAGGTGCGCTGCCTGGTCACTCTGGGCTGGCGCCTCAGAGAGGCAGGAGCTGGCAGGCAGCAGGAGGGACTGTGGGGCGGGCAAGGGGTCCTGAGCCTCCAGCAGTGCCCACCCCTCCTGCAGCCCCACCTGGGCTGTGTCCAGCTCTCCTTGCAGCCCCCTCTGCCCTGTCCTTGCCTGGCGTGGCACCCAAGGCCCTTATGTCCTGGTCCAGGACATTTCTGCCCCTCACTGATGGCTGGAGGGTCATGTCAGGGTCAGGACAACCCAGCCTGGAAGCCATAGGCCGAGAGTAAAAGCTGCTCAGCCCCTGGGGAGATCATTCCAGAAATTCTGGCCACCATGCGTTTCCCTCCGAAGGCCCTAGGGTCCAGCTGCCCCGGCCGCCACCCAGGGAGTTCAGTGTTGGGTTTTCTCCTGTCTGATAATTCTGGGGTCCGAGTCAGGCCGTTCCCGGGGCAGCTGTCCTGCGGAGTTGGTGGGACATGCTACCCTGGGCCAGCTCCAGGTGAGCGTGGCTTCAGGGGTCCCCATGGGCTCCTGAGTGGCTGGGGTGAGTGAGGCCTGGAGCTGGGGGCCTCTAACTGGCCCCGTAGCCCCGCAGTCTTTGGTGCTGGTGTCCCGCCTGCCCTTTGTCCGGCTGTTCCAGGCACTGCTAAGCCTCATCGCCCCTGAGTACTTTGACAAGCTGGCGCCCTGCCTGGAAGCAGGTGAGTGGCCATCAGGCATGGCCATCGCGGTCTCATCATCCCAGCTGTGGCCCCTGGTGGGCCTGACAGCAGCTTCTCCTTGGGGAGGGTCCTGACGCCAGCTACTGCATCCGCAGTGTGCAGTGAGATCGACCAGTGGCCGGCGCCTGCACCTGGGCAGACCCTGAACCTACCTGTCATGGGCGTTGTTGTCCAGGTGAGAGTCAGCTGGCTGGGGAGCAGGCTCTGCAGGTGTGTAGGGAGGCCTTACTCCCTCTGGCAGCTGCTCCCTCTTTCTCCCAGGTGCGCATCCCATCCAGGGTGGACAAGTCCGAGTCCAGTCCTCCAAAGCAGTGTGATCAAGAGGTGGGAGCTGAGGTGGAGGCGGAGCTGAGAGGGCTTCACCCGATTGAGTCCTGCTCCTGGGCTGGGTGGTCCCACACCTGCCTCCCTGGTCCACCCTGCGGGGTAGTCAAACCCAGGCAAAGCCACAGCCTGTGCCTTGGTGTAGGGCTGGGCGCTCTGCACCCTCCCCTGTGCTGTGAGGCAGGGGCTGCTTGGGGCCCAAGGGGTGCCAGTCCCCCTTGGCCCTGACCTACACTCCCCTCCTCTCAGAACCTGCTTCCAGCCCCAATGGTTCTTGCTAGCGTCCATGAGCTGGACCTGTTCAGGTGAGTCCCCTAGGGTTCTGCATGCTGCTTTGGGGGAGCTCACTGTGTGCACGTGCATGTACGTGTGTGTGTGTGTGTGTGAGTGCGTGTGTGCACGTGTGTGTGTATGGCCAGCGCCATGTGGGGACTGCCCAAGGGAGGCAGCGCTCATCCTGAGTAACCCTTGGGATAGTTCTGGAAGGAAGAAGAGAGAATTGTGTAGAAGAGGAAGCAAGTGCCACATGGCTGCAGCCAGCGGAAATGGGCACAGTGGGCAGGAGGTCCTGAAAGACAGTGTCAGGAGAGGCTGCCTGAGTCTGCCTTCACTGCCTCTGGGCGAGTCTGCAAGGGAGGCTGGGCTTTGAGACCATCCTGCTCTGTGGAGGGCCCAACAGGAGCCAGGGCTGCACTTGGGATGGGCACAGGGAGACCAGAGGGGTCCAGGCGGGTACCCCCCCATCCCAGGTCAGCAGCCCCTGCCCCCGCCCTGGGGCCACTTTAGGACAGCTGGTCCCTCATAGGTGGGTCCAGGTTGAGTCCCCCATTCCCAGGCCCAGGCCCAGCACAGGTGGACTGTCGGAGCTCGGGGTGGCCATGATAACCCGAGACACTCACGTCTTCAGACAGATCTGTCTTTACCTGGTGCAGCGTGCTGTGTTCACCAGGGCCTGGGTGAACACGTGGGAGAGCAGGGCCAGGGCCAGGAGTCTCAGCCCCTTCCTGACCTCCCCGACCTTCCTGCCCGGCCCCAGGTGCTTCCGGCCTGTGCTGACTCACGTGCAGACACTGTGGGAGCTTGTGCTCCTCGGGGAGCCCCTGCTGGTCCTGGCACCCTCGCCCGACGTGTCCTCAGAGATGGTGCTGGCCTTGACCAGGTATCACCTTGGCTGGGTCCCAGCTGGGGTCGCTGGACCATCACGGCTATGCCTGGGCCGCCCCTGCCTCACCTGCTTCCTGTGCTTCTGCCCACAGCTGCCTGCAGCCCCTCAGGTTCTGCTGCGACTTCCGTCCCTACTTCACCATCCATGACAGCGAGTTCAAGGAGTTCACCACACGCACGCAGGCCCCGTAAGTGCCGCCTCCGCCCCACCTCTGTCATCCTTGCTGCACCTCCCTGGACCTCTGTCTCTGCCTCTTCTCTCTCTCTCTGTCTAGACCAAACGTGGTCCTGGGAGTCACAAACCCTTTCTTTATCAAAACACTCCAGCACTGGCCCCACATCCTCCGAGTCGGGGAGCCCAAGATGTCAGGTCAGGCTCCCAGGGAGGTGCAGGGGTGATGCTCAGAAGCCTCATTGAGTGTGGGGCTGCCTCAGAGCCCATGGCCAGAGCTGCGAGCACTGAGGCCTGGCCACTGGGCATGTCTCGTAGGAGACCTTCCTAAGCAAGTCAAGCTGAAAAAGCCTTCAAGGTTGAAGACCCTGGACACTAAGCCAGGTCTGTGTTCCCCTTGACCTGGAGCCCCTCCACAGTGGAGGGGCCTGTCTTGTACCTGGTGGGTCTCCCGGGTGGGGCAGCCCGGCCCCCCGACCCCTGCTCCTCTCCCAGGACTCAGCAGCAGAGCTCGGACCCTCAGGGAGGGGCGCCCTCTTGTCTTCTTCAGTGGGTCCCTGTGTCTGGGGTGGGGTGGGTGAGATTTTCAGGTGCAGCCAAGGGCATGGGGCTGCAGGCAGATGAGACCCCCACCCTGGCTCCTCTGTGGGGCTGCAGGAGTGTGGGAGGGAGGCCCTTGAAGGGCGGGGCACCAGCTGTGCCCTCCCGCCAGGCCTCTACACCGCATACACAGCCCACCTCCACCGAGACAAGGCACTGCTTAAACGGCTGCTCAAGGTATGGGCTGTGGCGGGAGGGGGCTGGGGACGCAGGGAGTCTGGGGCAGTGTGAGGTGCAGCAAGGGCCTGGCCCCCCTTCCCTGCAGGGCGTGCAGAAGAAGCGGCCGTCAGATGTGCAAAGCGCCCTGCTGCGGCGGCACCTCCTGGAGCTCACCCAGAGCTTCATCATCCCTCTGGTGAGGCACGGGGCTGGGGGGGAAGGGGCTGGAGGGGAATGGAGCTGGGGGAGATGGGACGGGGGAGGACAGGACTGGGGGGCACGGGGCTGGGGGGAATGGGTCCCTGGGCTCACTCCCCTCCCTTCCCCACCCAGGAGCACTACATGGCCAGCCTCATGCCCCTGCAGAAGAGCATCACGCCCTGGAAGGTGGGGGTCCTGTGGGGTCCATGGAGGGCGGGTTCCCTTCCTCACCCGGAGAAGGGAAGGTCTGGAGCAGGAGGCCATGGCTGTGTAGGAGACACAGGGCTCAAGGCCATCATGTTGTGAAACTGAGGGCCACAGGGCAGATGGCTGGCAGGACCCTTGGAGGGGCTCAGGGTCTGCACCCTGGGAAGGGCTATTCTGGGATCTGTGCCAGGCAGGGTGGGGGCTGGGGGTATTCAGAAGTGGTGAGGAGCGTGTCTGGGCAGCGTACCAGGTGCAGGCCTGTGAGGCCGTGTTCCCACGTGCTGGCTCACCCACCCCCAATCAGACTCCCCCCCAGATCCGGCCCTTCAGCCAGGATGACTTCCTGCGTAGCCTGGAGCATGCCGGGCCCCAGCTTACCTGCATCCTCAAGGGCGACTGGCTGGGTCTCTACAGGTGGGTGGTCTGCGGGTGCAGCCTCAGCCTTTCTTGGTCCCCAGGGTCAGCCCCTCGGCCCTGCCTGTCCTTCCCCAGGGTCAGCCCCACGGCCCTGCCTGTCCTTCCCCAGGGTCAGCCCCGCGGCCCTGCCTGTCCGTCCCCAGGGTCAGCCCCGCCGTGCCCACACCTGTCGTCCCAGGGTCAGCCCCGCGTGCCCTGCCTGTCCGTCCCAGGGTCCAGCCGCGCTGCCTGTCAATCCCGGTTTCAAGTCCCCCATTTTTGTGACTGGTACCGGCAGGGCCCTGCCTGTCCGTCCCCAGGGTCAGCCCCGCGGCCCTGCCTGTCAATCCCCACAGGCGGTTTTTCAAGTCCCCCCATTTTGACGGCTGGTACCGGCAGCGGCACAAGGAGATGGCCCTGAAGCTGGAGGCCCTGCACCTGGAGGCTATTTGTGAGGCGGTGAGGGAGGCTAGGGGTTGGGGAGGGCCAGAACGTGGTGGGGGTGGGCACAGGCCCAGGGCAGTGGGGGGCCTTGCTGACAGCAGACCCCATATTACCCTGTAGAACATCGAGACCTGGATGAAAGACAAGTCCGAGGTGGAGGTCGTGGACCTGGTCCTGAAACTTCGTGAGAAGCTGGTAAGATGCCTCCCAGCCTTGTCCCAGCGCCACCAGCCTGGCATGGAGCTGCGCCTGCCCTGACCACAGCTGCCCCTGCAGGTGCGGGCTCAGGGCCACCAGCTCCCTGTGAAGGAGGCAACGCTGCAGCGGGCCCAGCTGTACATCGAGACGGTCATCGGCTCCCTGCCTAAAGACCTGCAGGCTGTCCTGTGCCCTCCCTAGGACAGAGCCAAGGGCCACGGTCCCAGGGCCCTAGGTCTGCCTGAGCCTCCTGCTCCCCAGTGGTGGCGGCACTGGGCCAAGCACACGCTCCCCTTCCTTGGCCCCCCGCCCAGACTGCAGGCTCCTCCATTGTCTCAGCAGTAAAGGCGACATTTGGAACCACAGCATGGCCCTGACCGTAGGGATTCCGTGCAGGCGGAGCCTTGCCTCCTCCTGGGCCCCACCTGGCCTCCACAGACCTTAGGCGGGGACCAGGGCGGGGACAGGCTGGGAGCCCTCGCCGATGTGGGTGCGTCTACCGTCTGCCCCTCCCGGTGCCCATCTGTTGGCCCCCAAGCCCCCTGCACTGTGTGTGGTGGTTCCTTCAGCCCAACAGGCTGCCCAGGACAGGAGGGACCCTCTCCTGACCAGCCCCCGACTCATCTCATCTGGGGACGGGAGGCTGTTTTGCACACAGGCATCAACTTGAGAAGGGGAGAGACTGCTTTGCAATGTGGAGAGCTCTGCCCACCACCCCTGATGCCCCTCTGGGCCCCCACCTGCTTGGGGCTGTGGTTTGTTGGGAGGTAGGGGTTGGGCAGGGGGCGGTGTGGGGCCAACACCTCTGCTAGGAGAGCTGGCTCAGCCTGGCCCTCGGAGGATCCACAGCACCTTCCTGGTTCCCAGTCCTGGAGCCCCCACTATGCACCAGCTCCATATGTCCCTCCTGGGAGGTGGACGAGGCTCCTGTCGTCCAAGTGTGTCCATCCATCCCCCACATGCAGCCCAAGGGGCTCTGGACTTCGGCCCGACCCTGCCTCTGGCTGAAGCCTGTGTGTCTCCCTTTCCTTGGTAAGGGGTGAAGGTCCCTAAGAGCCACCTCTGGGTCATGTGCTCCCCCCGTGACACCTGCAGGCACTGAGGCCCATGGGTACGGTGTTGGCCTGGGGGAAGGACTTTTCTTTTTCTTCTGAGGCCCCCATTCAGTCTGTAGAAGGTAGCCCTCGTTCAGCACGCGTGCGCGATGTACTGTTTGTGTTCTCATTGGTGGTCTCAGACCACGTCCTCCAGCCAGGCGGTGTAGAGTGAGCACCGCCAGCCACTTCAGTGCAGGGCATGACCGAGCCATGAGGACAGTGGGGTCAGGTGTCCGGACGACAGGTAGTTCTCAGAACTTGGTACATGTCAACTTGTCCAGCCAGACTGCGCCCAGGACAGCCTGTCCCTGTCACCATTCTACAGACAAGGACACAGAGGCAGCCAGGAGGGTGACAGAGGGGAGCTGTCGAGCCCAGATGTCTGGTGCAGGGTCCAAGGACATGACCACGTTAAACAGAACACATAGAGGCTGAGGCGGCAAACCTGTTCTGTGGCAGGGGCAAGCCGGGGACCTGAGGGTGAGAAAGGTCCTGGCCTCAAATTCTGCTTGGGCCTCCCAACTGTAGCATGGGGGGACCAGCCTTCCTACTGAGGGCTTGGTCTCTAGAGGGTCTGCAGATGCTGGCACCTCCTGTGTGGCCAGTTTGAACACTGACCTCCGTAAGATGGGGCCTGGGGGCCAGTATAGGCCCTGCCATCAGCTGCCCTCCACCAGGGCGCTCTGCAAAAGCCTTGTGCTGGTGGCCCGTCCCCTGAGGACCACCACTTCAAGGTGTCGAGGAAGCTTGGGAAGACAATCCGCCCCTCTCACAACTGTGGCCCCCCTTTGGGGAGTGCACCCCAAGGACCACGGTGGCGTGTGCTTCCCCACACCACAGTCTCACCTCACGGCTTTCTGAGGGCTGCCCCACAGCACAGAGGGCTGCAGACCCACAGGGCTGCAGGGAGGGGCTTCAGGCTAGGCTCAGAAGCCCCCAGGGACCCTGGCCACTGTCTGTCCAGAAGTGCACAAGCAGATTTCCCTGGAGGGCTCTGGTAAGGCCACATGGGTGGGCGGGTGGGAGACTTGGTGGGGGGGCATTGGGCCAGGCGGCCAGCATTGCCCTGGGCAGAAGCCAAGGCTAAGGTGGAGGGTAGTGTCCCAGCCCCTCTTCCTCAGGGCCTGTCCCCACCTATGCAGAAGAGGCCTGGGCTGGAATGTGGCCTGGGGTGAATGGGTGGGGGCTGGGCATGGAGACCTGCCAGCTCCATCTGTCCCGATGCCTGTTGTGGCCCCCCAGTGTCAAGGCCGCTCTGAGTTGGCTGAGCCTCTGTCCGGGGCTGGGCCATGGCCCTCCCCTCCCCACACACACCAGGCCAGGGGCAGGCAGTGAAGAGACAGGAAGGTCCAGAAAGCTCTCCCCCTGGCCACAGTGCCAGCCCCCACAGGCAAGAGGGCTTGCTGGGCAGAACTTAGCTGGCAAGGCTGAGGACTGCTGTGGTTACAGGCCTCCTGAAGGACAGGGACCACAGAACCCAGAGGGTGGAGAGAGCTGGGAGCAGGTCTGGAGTGGGGCTGGGGGCTGAGGGTGCACACAGGGCCTGCTCAGGGACAGGAAGGACAGCTGCTCAGCCTCAAGCTTCCTGCTGGCTATTTAAAGACTCCCTTTTGGTCTAGAACAGAGGCCTTCCCACGGTTTTGGTATTAAAATGTCCTTTTGTGACACAGGGCTTGTCTTTTCCTTTTTTGATAAAATGTTGGCAACCTTGTCAGACCCTGGTAATTTTGGGGTCCTCTGCAGTGAAGGGGAGGGTGGCCGCAATGTGGATTGTGGTTCAAGGCCCAAGGGAAGATTTGGGCAGGAACAAGGCCTGGCTGCTTGAGGGTGGGAGAAGGCAGAGACCGAAAGAACTAAGTCAGGCTGGGAGTTTGTCAGGATGTGGCAGGGCAGATCCCAAGTGGGGGAAGCAGGGGAGGAGGGGATGCCTGGCTGGGGACAGGAGGAAGCCGACCAGCTGCAAGGACGGGCAGGTCTGGGTGGAAGGCCGGCCCCAGGGAGGGGTGACCCAGGGTGGGGGCGAGGGTGAGGGCTTGGGGAATGCTTCCGTCTCCTGCTTAGCACATCCAGTCCTGGGAGGGCAGTGGAGGCATGCTCCAAGGTCTGGCCCTGCAGAGGGTTCTCCACCTTTTCTCAAGCGCAGGGGACCCCAGGAGCACTGGGGCTGGGACTTGAGGCCTGGGATGCCAGAAGTGGGGCCAGCTCTGTCCCAGAAACCATAACCCCAGAAAGAGGTCTCGGGCCACCCACCTCCAGGCCCTGAAGGATCAGTGTGGGGTCCCAGGTGCAGCGTCCCGAGGTGCTGCTGGAGGCCAGGGATGTGCTGGGAGGCCATCCTCAGGTGCCCGGTTTACCCTGGGAAGTTGAGGGCCTGAGACCCCTGGGAAAGGGCCAAAGCCCAGCAGCCCCCACCCCTGAAACCTGCCGGGGAGCGACTGGTCTGCTCCTGGTCTGGGGGTGAGGGTCTGGTGCCCACCCATCTCAAGACTGGCAGGGACCCTTGTTCCTCTGGCCAGGCAAAAGTTCGCCCGTAATGCCCTCCCCTAGCGCCAAGCCCTGGGCTCCCCTCAAACCTGTGGGGTTCCTGTGGGGGTGCTCTGGCCAAGGGGCCTCTGTGGGCGCTCGTCCTTCCTGGACGGCGGCATGGT